ATCATTTATCTTTAAAATTTTATTGCTCTTTACTTGTACAACTACAATGTTTACAATATACCTCCCAATATTCCATCACCACTATTTTGGTTTTAATGCACTTTTAAACAAGGTCTTTGAACCAAATATTATGTAGCTTAAAAATCTCTCAATAAAATAAAATAAACCCGAGTTCTAGATTTTAAAGAAAAATAAAAACATAAAAAAAAAGAAACACCGAAAAGTGAGGTGAAAAAAAATGTAAAATTTGAAAAACTCAAGTTAAAAATTCTTCCCTCATCTTTTATAGTGAATTTTAAAATTACTATAAATCAAGAATTAATTTTTACTATCAATAACCTTTAATTAATCAAATTAAATATGAAATAATTAAAAGTTTTTTAGTAGAAAGACAAAGGTTGTTTAGAAGTAATTTATCATTCATCCATAATTTTTCTAATTATAACAAATTTCCAGCGCAGCTATCATGACTTCTCGAAATTCATTGAAGAAACACAAGAAAAGCAGCACTGAAGAAAAACAGGCTGAATCACATAGGGCTTCTTGCCATTGAAAGCCAACTTTTTTCTTGACATGCCAATTTGGTGCGACATGCTGGCATGCAAATGTTCTTGTTATGGAACTAATGCCTTCTGAGCATAGCAAAAGTGATTATTCTATATGTCTAGAATGGAGCATTAGATTTAATGCAGACATTGTCATAAATCACAGAGGTATTATCAGTAGATGAGAAATGTCATGTCATGATATCTTAAAATGCCATTCTTCAGACATGTGTATCAGGCACAGGATTTTCTTGCCTCATGCCTTCATTTTGTTCGATAGCAGCTACTTAGCATGCAGTGACAAGCAGGGCAACAAGATGCTTGCTTTCTGACCAATGGCAATAAAAGCAGGCGAGATCTACTATCCATCCAGTAGACTCCTCACTTGTCCTGGTTTCTCCTGGCAAAACCACCGTGAAATCGGCTTATCACGGGGGAGGAAGGGGCACATTTTGCAAGCTTTTGTAGGTTAAACTAAGATCATATGTGCGTGCAGACAACAATGGACAGTGGACACAGAAAAGCAAACTCATGTCTGGCAGCGATCTTGTTCTTGCATTCAGAGAAAATAGTCTCGTGTGCTCAAAGACTCGGAATTAGTGACCTTGTTTATGAAGTGAGCACAAGTTAAGATGAGTACTATTCTTGACAACCTGATAATTATTACAAAAATTTCAGCCAAAATAATGTAATCAGTTCCCTTTCCTATTACAATTAAACCATAATCTTATTACAATCACACAAACTGAACAAATCTTTACATAAACTTGGTCTATTTTTTTTTAAAATATTTTAAAATACTTTTTTTCCTTCTAAAATCCATCATATTTTTAAACAGTACTGATTTAATTACTGTTTTGAAATAAAAAAGATGAAGATAATGGGATATAGAGAACAGCTCTTATTATAAAACTTCTGCATAAATATATTTATTTTAATTTTTTAACCAAACATATATTTTTTATTTTATATATCTTAAAACACTATTCACGCAGCCCTCGATCGAAATTGTTCTGGCACAACCGATGAGTCCTGATAAAAAAAAAAAAAAAGAATTCCTGCAACAAACACAAGGAGGTGAGATGCATAGCATGGGGGCGCAACTTCCATGCGTGATTGAGATTGCAATCATTCACTTTATAATGAAATAAACAAAACCATGCATACTTTGAAGGAGTGAGTCTGAAGAACAAAATACTAATTAATAAGATAAAGTTGTTCAGTAGGAATACAAAACGAGGTGGGCACTTGAAAAAGAAGCCTAGTTTGTAATCAAAGGACTTCCTCATTTTTCCCAATTTGTGCATCGGAGGCCACGAATTCTCATCTTCCCCTTTGACCACTAATCATTGGTGTGTTTTTCAATAATGAAAAGTGTGAAGTCTCTTTGAATGATCCAGCCATATACAGTAAAAGTTGTGGCGATCTGGACTCTCGGTAAAAGAGTTTTTCAAGGTAAGTTTCGTTTTTGTTGTTCGACAGTGTTTTTGTAAAAAATTAATTTTTTTAATATTATTATTATTAATCTTTAATGTTTAGGACTCCATATGAGAAACACAGGAGAATTAATTGACACAAGTGTGGGAGATACGTGATAGTAGAGGATGTCAACTTTATGGTTAGAGGTTACTTTTTCTTTACACGAAAATGCCCAAAAAAAGAAAAGGAAAAGAAATAAAGGAAAGTGGAAAAAAAAGCCCAAAACATGACCTAATGAACAGAGGAAATCCTTGGGTAGCTCCAAGTTGAACATGACTCGTGACAAGGTTCTCTTTGTTGGCTTCAACGATGACAACTCAGCAATTATGACCTATGATCCCGGATTAAATAAATAACTCTATTATTATTATTAAAGTTGGTTTCGCCATTTGATCCAGCAACACTCCATTCGTAACGTGATATAGATTAAGTTCCGATCAAATTATAACTACAAATTAAAAATAATAATTAAATCATATTATTTTTAAAAAAATGTATTTTAATTAACATGATATTCCTCAAATTATTCTATTATTAATTCACTAACTCAAGTTTTTTTTATTTTTAATATGATATTTTATCAGGTATACAAAAACTACTATTTTTATGATGGGATGGCAAACTTTGATATAAAGCAAGTGATTTTAAGTCTATATATTATATTTTGTAATTAATTTAAATAGATATAAGTGTTTTTTATATTTGAATATTTAGATCAGTTTGTATGTATCATAATTAATTTTATATATTTTAAAGTTAATAATTATATAAATTTTTTATAATTATTATATAAATAACTAATAACTCAAATTTAAAATTTAAAAAAAAACTAACTTTGTAATTTTAAATTTTTATCACTTACCGCTATTAAATAATTATCTTTTACAAGTTTAATCAGCGAAGAGCTTGCTCTCCCTCAGCCAGCTTTTGGCAGCCCGTATCATGTACCGTGGCCTCCAAGGTGGCACCGCTCTCCCTAGGCTATTGCCTTTTCTGGGTATAGTTTTGAACCCGGTTTCTGGGCCTATTTCGTTATATTATTATAAATAAATAAATAACTTGTAGTTGTTTCAAAGATTTAAATACACTATTATTAGATTTAGCCCAGTTAAATCTAAGGTATTCAAGTTCTAATTAATCACTTCCTATTAGTTACGTGAACTTCATTCTCTCTTTTCAAAATATATCCAATAATATTGCAATTTGCAACGATTTTAATGTCGGCTGATAATTAACGACAGCTTCTGGACCATTAGATTTGAATTTAGTAGATGTATTCAATTATTTTATTGGAACTTAGTAAGTTTTAAACTCATCCACTAACTATATATTTAAATTAATTATCCTTGATTTATTTACTTGTATAGTAAGTGAATTCGTCTTTATTATTGCTGTTTTTTCCCCTTAAAAGTAATAATAAAGGGATAAATATTGCATCAATTTTTACATTTAAAATTAAATCTATTGAAGATAAAATTTTAAATAGATAATCCATATCCATATCCATATATATATATATATATATATATATAAAAGAAAATAGATTTCTTAGAGCCCTTGTTTGATAAAAACATGTATATCTTAACTTGGATATAAACCTTCTACTTGGTATTGTAATTGAATTAAATGTATTCTCCACAAATCAAAATAATGAATCCTCTTCATCAATTATCCGCATTTAATTTGAAGTCATTGTAGCAATGGAGGGTTTCCTTTTGATCACGGCAAAATAAATTCACCATCAAAATCCGGCGGCCATTAAGGAGGTTCTAGGTGGTCCTGCGATCAACAGTTTCCACTGAAAATCTCCACCACATGAGACATTTTATGAATTTACCACCGTCTTTAAACCATACTGCAACAACCTCTAGATCGTACATGAAAGCATGCCTAGCCGTCATGGCCACCATTGTCAAACCTGGAAACTAAGAACTCCTATATTGTTTTTTTGTTGCTTATTACATGCACAAATTCATCGCTAATATGGCTACATCACCACCATATTTGTCTTCGTATAATAATAATAATAATGGCTACATCACCACCACATTTGTCTTTGTATAATAATAATAAAAAAAATTATTGCACTTAAATTGTAATTATTAAATACTAAAAAAAATACATATGGTCTCACAAAAAAAATGATATGAATTCTCTTTCTTATTGAAAAATTATTATTTATTTAAATCTTTTCTCTTATTATTTTTTTTGTAGTCTTTTATATGGTAAATATCCATAAATTATAATTCGAGTACTATAAATTTTATCATCGGATGGGAGTATAACTTAAACATTAAATTAAGCTATCCTTTTCATAACAAAAATATAAAAATAAAAATCTCCCCTTTCTTTTCATTGATTATGATAAAATCATAGGAAATTCTAAAAATTAGAGACCTCACACAACTTCTTTGACTCTTCGAATAACTCCAACCTAACCTGGGCTTGAAAAGTAGCAAAATTTTGCTCAACCACATGGTGCAAGTTGTTGATCTTCAATGTATTTTTGTTTTATGATTTAATGTTTTTTTTAAATAAAATTTTATTTTATTTTTAAATTTTTTATATAATCTAATAAAAAATAAAAAATATTATTTTAATTAAAAATATTATACAACCACAAAACCAG